AAAAAATGTTAAAACTCCGTTAAGCGGAGGGCAGCAAATTATATGACATCAAATTATCGAAAGCTATTCCGTCTTTCGCGCTCTTCCTTTTTATAAGATACAAAAACTTAAAATTGAAGTTGTAGTGCATGTTGTGCAAGTTAAAGTTAAATTATCTAAAAATCACGAGTTGAGACGAAAAATTGATTATGCGTTAAAAGTTACGGTTGAGAAACACAACAAACACGCGGAGATGAAAGATGCCGACGACCAGTGGAATTCTCAGAAAAAAAAGGGTGGAAACTTCTCGAAATAAAGGGGCTCTTTAAGGAGCTGGTAAGGAATTTTAGGGGGAGAATGTCCAAATTGCGCTACCGCTTAAGGGGCTAAAGAAAGATGATGAAAATAAAAGAATGTATTACAAAATTAAAAGAATTAGTATTATTGATTAAAAAAAAGGATATTTATAAATTAGGCTGTGACCTAATGTCACAGCATGTTTAAATGCAATTAAAGTTATTAAATCAAAACAATTTAAAATATAAATATTTAACATCCACCCTCCCCCCACAGTGGGCTGCGGTAAAATTATCAAACGTTGACTGGACAGCGGCAATAAAACGGTCAATAAACGGTTTGCTCTAGGCCTGATGAATAATTATAAAAATGGAGAAAAGTTTCCCCCTCTAGCTTTAACTCGCTACTCCATTTTTTCTTACAAGGATTTTATAAATATTAATTAAGCGCGTTAATTAAAAAAAAAAAAAATGTATCAGTTCTATAACCTAATTTTGCTCTAACCTTCTGTTAGAGCTTTCATGCATTCCTATGACCTAGTCTTACGAAATGTACCAGTTTATATATCCACTTACTTATTTCCTGAAAATTTAAAAAAATATTACAATTAGTGAGGTAACAATATTAAAGTAAATAAGGCTGTTTATCGAAACCTCTGCTGTCACATAAAATAATTTAACTTAGCGAATAATATGCTATTTATAAAACTGTTGTGAGTTTGTAACAGTTATTCACGACTGTTAGGTCAATTTTTGCCTACCTTCAGCAAGTGCCATCTTTGCTGATTCAGAAAATGTAAACCAATATGTAGAAAGGTCACAGTTTTTTTAAATGAGAAACGTTTCAGATCCAGTTAGCCAACATTTAACAAAAACTGTGTACTCCAACGTTACATTATCTGAGCTTATAAAACTTAGCAGACATTTAGAATTATGCACAGATTTTAATGATTTTCATATGGATGGAAAGATTTCGCGAAATTAACGATTTTTAAAATAGTTTAACATTAAAATGCAGTTACAGTTGTATATTTACGTTGCACTAAAGCTGCACAATGGGTTACACGCGACAGTCTGGGAAACATCCATGAGGATGATCCGAAGACATGCCATCACAATTTTGATCCTCTGCAGAGGGGATAGTTCCTCCGCTTTGGTAGCCCCACGACCTGCACGCGAAGTCAAGCACTTCATGGTAGAACGGTTTAATGCGTACCGATGCCTCACACCCTTAGTTCCTTTGCAAGCTGATCAAAATGGTCACCCAGCTGCTTACTGACCGCAACCAATGATGCTTGACTTCGGTGTTCTACTGAGAACCGTGTCTTTAAGATCAGTCCACTGTGGGACATCATATATCAGCTATTTATCATTTTTAAAGATCAGATAATTGGATACCTGAAAGTGACATCATCGTAAGTAAATCCTGGCATTCGCAGATTAGAAGCCAATCAGGCTCGACGGGCACGCGTGACGTCGCTTATAGGTATCCAATCAAATCTGATTTAAATCACATGGTAGACATAATCATTTCACTTCTTCTCGAATTGTAAGTATCCAATCCTTTTATGATTATAGGCGATCAAGCTTTCTCATTGAAGTATTTTTTATTTTTTTTAAAAAAAAATTTCCGACTAAGATAAAGACTAGATGTAGATCAGGTGAGGAAAAAAAATCTGAAACATCCTTTGAGAAAGCAATTAATGTTTGGTTTTAAATCTTCTAAATTAAAAAAAATAATAAATTTCATTGATATTTTTTTTTTACAAACCTTCTGCTGCTTTTCTAGCACGACTTTTTATTTTTCTGTTAATCCTTTGCAATGCGTCAACACGTTTTCTCATTCTCTTATTTTTCCCCATCAAATTCAGCATGTTTGCATAAGCCACTTGTTGTTTTGCAGCTGCAAACTTGAACATCCGTTTGGCTTTGTATGGATAGAACATATCCTCTAAGGTGAAATCTCCAAGGCGCCGCTTGTTTAGGATGGGAACGTCATCAGCACGTTCTAAATTTTAAGGGGAAAAAAAACAAGGAACATAAATTACCAGAGTGTTAATTAGTCATTAATACATTACAGTAGTGAACCATTGGTGCTTATTTCGGGAAAGTAGAATTCCTGTGTCTAAAACAGTTAGAAAGTTATGGAAATACAGGTATAGTGCGGCTTTCAGGAAAACTCCTCCAGTCACCTGTCCCGCGTCATGATGGTTACTATGGTTACGAGGAAAGGTCACTTCGAATAGGAGAGTGGGGTGAATAGTTTTGTTTTAAATTTAGCGTAGGTTGTCATGAGTAAACCAATCGACACTTTCTCTCCTTCATTTCACCCCCATTAAAAATGTGCTCTTGCTTGTTAACATAGCAGCAGACAGTCCCAGACTTTTAATCTGGAGGAGTTCTCCTCAAAGCCGCACTATAACAATCTGTTCTACACCAAAAAGATAGAAAACAAAAATTTTATCGTAGACCTAACATAGAGTCATTGACCAGGTAATTCGGAAACTCAAAATTACGGGTATTTAACCTTGCTTTAAAAATTCATTTTATTCAAAGCAATTATTATGCGTAAAATTTTTTAAATAACCACATATTTTTTGAAATCATTGGTTTTAAAAAATTATTGCAAAGCATTGTATTTCTACTCAGTTATTAACGCTATTATATGAGTAATAGACAGTTCCATTTTTGATAAACTGTTAATTTTTTAGCCAAGTACAAAATTTTGTTAATGAATTAAAAATAACACTAAATTTAAAGTTTTGAACCCGGTAATCAATATTACTTGATTAAAAAACGTAATTCACTTCAAAAATATTCAGATTTGATTTAACAGTCGACACGTTTCGAGCGCTCAGAAAATAAGCGCCCATTTTCAAGAGAGAGAATGAGAAGAAACAAAAATGACTTGAAATATAAAGTGTAAAGTTGCTAAAATGCAATCAATGACTTTAATACAGTTTGGAGTGTCATTAGGCTGGTAAAAAACAATACGTACTTTCATACAATTGACATAATTTTGACTAGAAGGCGAATGTAAGGAGAAACTTTGCCATGTCTAACTTGTCTCAACTTTTTAACTACATTAGATACAACGGCTATAGGAGAAAAGAAGAATAGCGACCCAACGATAATATAAATTAAAATACAGAAACGGAAAAAACCTTATAAATATTGTAATAGTTATAACAAATGTTTCTTTCATTAGGTCAGGTTAGTACTAAGAGTATACAGATTTATTATTTTTTTAATAATTTATTTTTGATTTTCTTTTTTTCTTTTTTTTTTTTTAGTGACCATAAGTTGATCAGCTTAAAAACGCCTCAAACTATAAACTGATTAGCGTCTCAGTACTAAAAAGACTAGTAAAAAAGTTCTTCTTTTCTTTTTTTTTAATTTTAAAAACTCCTTTTTTAACCCTTCTAATTAATAATTTTTTGAAAAGAGAAAGCTTTGTTAAAGATTCTCCGACAGATTTTTTTTTTTTTTTTAAATAATTGGAAAAGTAAAGGGATGAGTATTCGAATGTTTTTTTACAAACTATACTAACAGTTTTTTAGTTTTGTCGGGAAACTGGTCAACTTGTGGCATGTAGAGCTAATTTCGTTATAGCACGGTTAATCATACAATAATTAACAAAAATTACAAAAAATAGAGTACTTAAAACTTTCAAAGAATAGCTGACCTTAAAAACTAACATTTAAATTTTGCGTTCTAGAAACCAAATTCATGACGTGTTTAAAAGCTTTGCTATACCAATTATACATAAAGATGAAAGATAACTATGGAATGGTTTCGTAAAATCCGTATTTAACAGAAGGGATTGAATACCTGAAGAGGTTAAAGAATTAACCCTTCTTGGTCGTATGTCTATTCTCAGACCTTTTTTTCTTAAACCACTCCAGTCGTATGACTGCTCTTACTAATTACAGAAAAGAACTATATAATTCTTTCAACAATACTGTTCACTTAAGTTTATAGGCTTTAAAAATATACATAATTCAAAATTTTATTTCCAATATAGTGTTAAGAGGTCAGACGAACGTGTGGGATGACTATAAGCGAAAATTCCAATTATGCATTATTCTTTTCATTAAAATTTCCCAACTAAACTGATGGTGGATACTTACCCAATTATACATGCATAATAAAATACATGTATAAATACAAGGCCATCACCAAATCAGAATTAGAGAAATAAAGCGTGCGATATTTTAGAATTTCTATTGTTTTGTTTTTTCTGATTTAATTATACCAATTCAATTCTGAGGAGGCATGGTGGCTCAGGGGATAGAGCGCTCGTCTCCCAATGAGGTGAACCAGGTTCGAATCCCAGATGTGGCTGATTGATATGAATTCAGCTCACGGCTCACATCAACCACAGTGCTGTTCTAAAATATCCTTATGGGTAGACGGATCATCGGTAAGAATCCCCTTTGCCGTCCAGATAACCGTGAGAGGTTTTTGCGGGTTTTCTCCTCCTTGCAACGCAAATGCGGGTTAGTTCCATCGAAAAGTCCTTCACGAAGGCTAGTTTGTCCCAATGCTGTATAGATTTTGCTGTCTAAAATTATTCTATTTAATCGAGTGACGTACCTTTTTCAATCGTCACATTTTCATCTTTCTGTTCTTCTGTTACAGGCATGATCTCAGAGTTGGGGTTGGACACAGATTCAGGCTCTGGGGGGTCAAGTTTTTTGGACAAATGATCCGGCACAGAAAAGTCAAAAATCGTCGGGACGGCATCCTTCTTTAACCAAGTTCCGCCAAATTTTTCAGCATCAAAACAATCTGCGGTGAAATGCTTTGAACAAATTTTTGTATTTTGACTGACTTTAAAATTTTTTCTCCTTAATTGTTTTTCCCAGAGCCTTTTTCTTTTTTCATCTCTCGGGAAACTAGAAAAAAAAAACAATGCATTAACTTTGACTAAAAAAATCTATGTTTAATTATTGTTAAATACGTTTGTTAATTTATCGATGAGAATACTCTTCTGAGGTCACAAACGGAGAGCTCTGCTGTCAGTACCAAGTATGCGCATTATACAGGGTGTTTCGTAATCTCCGCTCTTAAAGCTACTTTTCGAAATGTCCGCCACGACATGAACTAACACTGTTTTACGAACACTACACTATTTTCATAATAGCTGTGAATTTTTCAACAGTTACTCATGGCTATTAAATCAGTTCTAACTTTTCTTTAGCCAGCACACTAAATGCTCATTCGGAAAATTACGCAAAACGTTAATTTAAAGACAATCTACAATTTTGTGAAAAGCATTTGTGAATTTTTTATCAGTTAAAAAGTTTAATATTTTCAATGACTTTCATCCAGCGAAAAAATCTCGCCAAATTGGTGACATTTAAAAAAGTTTAATACCATATAAAATATTTAAGTACTCACTTTTTTTGTTCGTGTTAAAGATCAGATAATTCTTTACGGATAGATAAAGTCAATATATAGACTATAGTTTAAAAATATAGCTTTGCCTCAAGTATAAGTAAACGGTGGCTTTTTTATTTTCCTTGGCGATAGAGCTTCTAAAAACACTTAATACACATTTTTAGAATCTTTGTCAAAAGTAAAAAAATTATATACATTAGCGACCTCAAACTAATATTTAATTGAATAAAAAAACGAAAACAATGTCCAATATTGACGATTCAAAATTGGAGAATTTTAAAATTAAAAACATGAAAACCAGATAGGTTTTGAATGAAATGAATGTAGGATTCAGTGATATGCAAATCTCGTCGAGGTTTTTAATAGTCGATTGTTACAATTTCCTCTAGCAATTAAACATGTTTCATTGTTTTCAATCTTGACTTCCTCGTTAATAATTCGCCAGGTTTTGACAACATTTCAGTTTTTTTTATCCTTTAAAAAACCCACTGAAACACTTATTTACGACCTGCATTTAGTATATATTTACTTCATTTAAGAAGATTCAAATATTATACATTAAAGGCCTTAAGTGTGGAACGTCCTCTTAAGGCAATTAAATTTATATTTTTCGTATGAGGATCAGGAGACAGAATAGTCCTACTCAGTGACGCATTTCAGGTTCGAATCCCGATCATTTTTCGTAAAAACTTTCCGATTTATGGCGAAATTCGATACGAGTAAAATTAACGTTAACAGTCCGAATTTTCAACCAATCCGCACATATTAACATTTTTAGGTAAACGAAATGCACGATAAACATTTTTAAAAAAATTGTCAATAAAAAATAACATTTGCCTTTGCCAACTGATTTTTCTTTCATTGCTTCCATAAACACAAGACACCTTTTTTCGTAGTATATTAACTTTAAAGACAACTGACACAAGAACGAAACGACCCTGTAAATAACACGGGAATGCGAGAATAAAGTTCCTGCGAGTCACGTGACTATTTCTTTGAAGTACATAAGTAAGGGGTAGAATTTTTTATTTATTCTTTATATGTCGTTTAGAGCAGAAAATTTTAAGTAATCTCTAAGATTCCTCTCTCCCTCTATTGTCCCTCTCATAGAGTTATCGATAGCATTTTGGCGAGATAGTATGCCGCCAAGGGAACAAATATAAGCTTTGCAGATATTTCCGCTAAAAATAGGTTAAATATTGAAACAAAATGATTAAACACCGTAAGTTAAAATTTCATAAAACAATCAAAACGAATGTTAAATGAAAACACACAAGGAATAATTTAAACTCCTTATTTAAATAGAAAAAGGGAATAAAAACAGTGCACTTACCTGTGAATTGTTACAGGACTACCCTTAAAAAACTTAGATTAGCAACCAACTGCACCATTTTTATATGGTGCAGATATAAAAATGTTGCAACCACTTTTGCACCATTTTTATATCTTAATTAAAAATACACTCAGTAATGTGGCAAACTACCACAATGTCGCAGTCAACGGCAAGTTTAGACTGAAGTCACATGACTTGATCTTGTCCACTCTCTTGGCGAAACATACCTTGCTGGCGGTCGCCAGTAAAAATTTCTCTTGTTTTTTGTTGTTTTGAGTGTTAGCCCAATTTTATTAGCGATTGTAAAAGATAAGTTTTTAAATCATAATACGTTATATTATACGCACTACTATTATTTTTACGTTTAATTGCGAAATCATAAAAAAGTCAAGATTTCGTTCAATATTAGTTAATTATTATGATCAAAAAATAATAATTGTGGAAATGAAGATTATTTTTTAGAGTCGGTAAAATATAAACATAAATTGAAATTGGTATTTTCTATTCATTATTTATGTTAAAACGCCCTACTTTCCTCATTCAAATTTAAACAACAAGAAAGAAATGAGGTATAATTAATTTCGAATTTTCAAAGATACCTTATGTCTGTTTCATATTATATTCTGGCAAGAGTTTAAAAAAATAAATACATTTTCACAGTTATTATTACTTCTTTTTAAATCTATAATTACTATTGAGAAAAAATAAATTTAAAATATTAAATATGAAAATTTGTAAAGATACAAATTACGTAGAACTAAAATAGCAACTTTCAGTTTTGCTCTTTGTCATTCTATTTAGTATTAAAAAACATTCATAAGGAAATATATCATGTACCTGTAGTGTAGTATGACTTATTTACACTTTACGGCATTATTTAAAATTTATATGAAATATTTTATTGATAATTAGAAAAATTAAATATTTCTTTATTTTCAAAAATTAAAATATAATACATATCATGATAGTCAAATTAATTATAAATTTTAACAAACACAGTCAGAAATTTAATTCTGGTTCATTAATATTTTTCCTAAATTATAAATAAATATTCTGTTTTTAAATTTTATGCGTTCACGAAATTTAATAAGAGATTATTTAAATTTTTAAACAAAATAAAACTATTAACGTATTTCGCATTTAAGGAAAACAAAAAAATTTAAAAAATTAATATTTTATTTTAAGTTTTTAACAATACTTAATGTTTGTTTAATATTCTGGAGAGTTGTATTATATATTTTCAGTTTTCATTTTTTGTAATCTATAATTTTCAATAAAAAATTTAATTAGATTTTGTAACAATACCTAGTACACTAAACTAAAATAATAAATGTTAGCTTTGTTATTTTTCTTTTTAGTCAAAAAAATATGTTACAAAATCCCATACTATGCGTCTAATGTTTAGCTTGTTAATAATTTTCGACATTATTTACAATTTATGTAAAATATTTTATTGATAATTAAAAAGAGAATTTAGTACATTAAACTAAAATAATAAATTTTAGCTTTGTTATTTTTCTTTTTAGCCAAAAAAATATGTTACAAACTCCCATACTATGCACCTGGTGTTTAGCTTGTTAATAATTTTCGACATTATTTACAATTTATATGAAATATTTTATTGATAATTAAAAAGAGACGTTATTTCCTTTATTATTTTCAAAATTAAAATACAATATATATAGTAATAATAAAATTGCTGCAGCTTCGACAAATAGTTAAAACTTATTAAACTATTTAATTTTTTAATCCAGAAAAAAATATATATATATACATTATAAATAAGTACAAATTAAAGTTTTTAGTTAAATTTACTCCAAAATTATTTTAAAAAATATTTCTTTTGTATATATATTTTATAAATAAACTATAAAGCGATTGGTTTATATAATTATGGTTATAAATAATATAATATAGTAAAAATAAAGAGCGACACAAAATATTGGCGTCAAAATAATGTGCCAAATCCAGCTCACGTGCTTCACCAAAAAAAGCAAACAAAAAGTTCTAAATTTTCATATCAATATGAATGAAAACGCGTACAAACGTTAAATACATTATAACTTATAAATTTAAGCAAAACTATGAAAAAATAGAAATTTTCAAGTTAATAATTTAATAACTTTATTCCATAACGGCGGGTGATATCATTAATTAATCGCCTAGAATGTATAGGAATAAAAATCATACTTGTGAAAAGTATAAGGTCCTCCTTTTAAGAATTTTTCTTTACATCCAAAGGCACAGCAATATACAACCATTTTTTATTGAGCTTTTTTGTTGTTCCAAGCCACAGATCTGCAATTCAACTCAGTTGAAAAAGACTGTTATGAGGTCTTGCTGGGGGAAAAATCGTCCTAGACTCACGTGACGTTTTTCGCTTCAGCGAGGGTTGGGAGATATCTAGCTTTACGCACGTCACGTGACAACAGTGCAATATTTGGCGTTGAAATGCGAGTTGTGGCGTACAAAAATTTCTCGCCAGTATTTTTTTCTGTTATTGCCGGTAGCAAATAAGGGCTGCGGAATCGACGAGTCGAAGAAAATTTCTCAGGAGTGGGACAAACTAGGATATAAACTGCTGCTTAAAAAAAGGTAAAGAAAGAAAATAAAAGATTTTAATCTTTGAACAATTATTTAGACCAGTGGTTACCATCCGGCCAGCGAAACTTTTTTTTGTGGCCCGCGAACTAAAATATATTAGTTGTCATTTTTATGCGGACAATTTTCGTGAAAATATGGGTTTAAAATACTTTTCTTTCGTTAAAAAAAAAAAAAAAAAAAAACCTAATTTCTTCGTTTCTCGGAAATTTAACATACCAACTGCGCAAAAAGATTTATTTCTCAAGTTTTGCATCCAAGAAAATATTCATTATTATTTGTAATTCAATAGTTTTGTACAACTTGTTAAAAATCTGATAGTAATATTTAATGTTCCTTCAAGCATTAAAGAGTCCTATATAAAATGTTGATAAAGTTGCGGCCCGTCATTTGACTGTTGTTTTTAATTGCGGCCCCGGCCTCATTTAAGTTGGAAACCCCTTATCTAGATAATTATTTATGATTATATAAAGAAAAATGCTACTCAAATGAATGCTGTGAAAATTATTGAAATTATTACGAATCACAAACTTAATTGCATTTGAACGTACACAGCTTTAATCAAACTATTGTATAGGAACACATATTTCACAATAGAAAAATCGATATTAAAAATAGATGAAATTACTAATAAGTTATCTTTTTTCAATTTATAAATAACAAAAGTAAAATTTAACTAAGTTAGGTTACTTGATTAAAAAAGTATGCGAAAGAATTTAAAATATAATTTTAATTTATTTAATAACTAGTGTTGAACAGCTGAGCCAAATCTGAGTTCACGACTATCAATATGCAAATCCGCAGCCATGTAATGTTATACCCAACACAGAGGACAAGGAAGCTCCTGTATCAAGTATTTAATATTTAATAACCGTCGTTGAACAGCTGACCCAATTTTTGGGTTTATGACTACTAATGTTCAACTTCGCAGCCTTGTAATTTTGAACCCAATCCAGAAGACAAGGGAACTGGATCAAGTATTGGGAGAAATTTACCTTCGTGGAGGACTTTTTGATGGAACTAATCCGCATTTGCGTTACATGGAGAGGAAGACCACGAGAACCTCCCACGATAGCCTGACAGCTCCGTCTACCACTGAGGATATTTCCCGTCAGCACTGTGGTCGGTGCAAGCCGGATGCGGAATTCGTATTGACAAGTCATCACCGAGATCGAACCCCGGTTCACCTCAACGGAAGGCGAACGCTCTATCCCCTGGGCCATCGAGACTCTGGATCAAGTATTTGGAAAAACTAGCTCTTTTGAAGAATTGTAACAAGCATTTGAGTTACGTAAAGAAGAAAATCTCCCACAGTTGGCCCGAAAGCAAGGAAATTCTAATCCATAATCCTTCAATCACTGAAGATATTTTATGCCAGCACTGTGGTCGGCGCGAGCAAGTAGCAGAATTCATATCAATCAGTCACCGCTGGGATACGAACCTGGGTCACCTTGTGGCGAATGCTCTATATCCTGAGTCTTTGCTCCGCAATTAATGCATCATTGTAAATTTCGTGCTCATAAATATTCACTAAACATTTTTTTAATGATCATAAGTCAGTCCAACCATGATCATTTAATGATCATGGTTGGACTGACCATAGCCCTAAAAATGAGATCGTTCCCTATGGCCCAGCAACTATGATGGCTCTGCTTGAAGTTGGAGCCATCGGTGGCTCCGGGGGCAGAGCACTCACCTTTAAATGAGGCGACCCAGATTCGAGTCCCCGTGATAGCTGGTCGATATGAATCCCGAATTAGACTTGCACCAACCACAATGCTGACATAGAATATCCTCAGTGGTTAAAAGTCCCCTTGTCGTCGAGATAACCCGTTTTCGTGGTTTCTTCACCATGTAACTACAAATGCGGGTTAGTTCCATCAAAAAATTATCCACAATGGCTAGTTTGTCGCAATTCCTGAACGAGGAGTTCTGGATTGGGTTCAAAATTATAAGGCTACGGAGTTGAATATTGATCAGTCGTAAACTAAAAAATCGATCGACTATTTTTAATATTTTGTACAAATACATATTTTTAAAATTTATACTTTAACTGTTACGTTATAACACAAAATTTGTACTTTAACTGTTAAGTTATAACACAAAATTTATACTTTAACTGTCATGTTATAACACAAAATTTATACTTTAACTGTTATGTTATAACACAAAATTTATACTTCAACTGTTATGTTATAACACAAAATTTGTACCTTAACTGTTATGTTATTACACAAAATTTATACTTTAACTGTTATGTTATAACACGAAATTTATACTTTAACTGTTATGTTATAACACAAAATTTGCACCTTAACTGTTATGTTATAACACGAAATTTATACTTTAACTGTTATGTTATAACACAAAATTTGCACCTTAACTGTTATGTTATAACACAAAATTTATACTTTAACTGTTATGTTGTAACACGAAATTTATACTTTAACTGTTATGTTATAGCACAAAATTTGCACTTTAACTGTTATGTTATAGCACAAAAAAGTAATCTTAAATAACGAGCCTTATTAAATCGTATATAATAAAACAGAAACGCATAATTTGAAATTAGCAATTTTTTAATAACAATATTTTGGATAAATTATTTGGATATTCGTAAAAATTATTAATAAATAAAATATTCGTTATGCCGTTCTAAAATTTTGCAGAACATGTAGAAAATGGGATAAGAAATAATTTAAGCTAAAAAAAAAATTCGATATTTTGGTCCACTATTGTCAAAATTCGGATACTTTGTCTTTTTAAATAATATAATCAAATTATTTTTATTAGTTTAAATAAAATGAAACAATCAAATGCACAAAAAAGCAATTAAACAAGGTTTACTTAACGATCAGCAGCTAATTTGCGAAAATTAAATATAAATTATTGAAAGGGCTTTTAACATTTTCGTTCTAGTTCAGTCGCTGAAATAAAAATTAAAATTATTTAAAAAAAAAAAAGAATTAACTATACAACAACTAATTACTTTCCGCACAAAGGTAGAGTGAATAGTAGGAATGCTAAGATCACAGCTGACGTCCTTTGTGACATCATAGCTTAGTTATGACGTCACAAAGTTAATGTGACGTCACATGTGTTAGTTTTGTAAACAGAGGTAGGAAAAGTACCTCTTGAGGGACATGTTTGACGTCAGAGGGGGTAAAAGAGGAAGATTCTTTCTCCAACAAATCTCTCTCCCAAACTCCCCCTCTTCACAAGAAAATAAAAAAAAATCAGGATTCCACTTTATTTCAATCCCAATTATAACACAATTTTGTTTTCCAGAAATTCAATTCATAATGGAATCTAAAAATCATGATAAACTAAATGCATTTTTGTTTAAATTTTAAACTAATTTTAATTTCAAACTGAATTTGTGCATAAACAGATCTTATGATTTTCGAATTTTAATTTTAACAAATTTTAAATTCGTTTTATTTTTAAACTGAATTCGTGCATAAACAGATCTTATGATTTTCGAATCATACGTATTTGTTCACTTAGGTGATTCAATGAGCTTAAAATAAATTTCAAATGAGATTTAAAGTAGATTAACAGCTTGAAATTAAAATTAAGAGAAATAAAATTCGAAAGGGAGTTGATTTTTTAGAAAAAGAGAGCCCATTGGAATAAACCATTACGAAGTAAAATAATAAGTTATAAAATAAACATTATATGATCTAAATACACTGTTGTAAGAAATTAAGATAATTTGCAGACTTGGTCGATTATCTCTAGAACTACTGGATCGATTTTAATGAAATTTGATATGTATATACGTGAATTCGCGATAACTCGAATCTGATAGGACTGACGAAAAACTTCGACATATCGGAAGTTCGACTTACCGTTAGTTTCGGTTTTGGACTTTCAAAATATTGTCGGATTATTTAAGTAATGCTTATTAATTACAAATCTCTCTGCGCTTCTTTCAGAAACCCACACTTCCGGAAACAGTTTCGTATTGTCGTTTTTTTACATCATTATTCCAAGCACTGGAAAGTAGTCTCATGGCTTCAAGTACTTCAACTTTGAAAGAAATATTGCTTTCAATATCGCTTATCATTTTTCTGACAAGCCTTTTACGATAAGACTGTTTGAAGCACTTTATGATACCCTGGTCCATCAGTTGCAACTTTGCTGCTGTGTTTGGCGGGAGAAACTGCAAGTTTACTGCTTTCAAATTAGGTAGATCACTATGCGCTGTGCATTTATCCATAAAGAGTATCACTTTTCTTTTTTTAGCGAAGAATTTCCGATCCAATTTTCTTACATAGTCTTCAAATAAAATTGATGTCATCCAGAACTTTTTGTTAGACTTGTAATCCAAAGGATATGTTTTTCATTCTTGAAACATCGGGGATTTCGGTATTTTCCGATAACAAGTAAGGGCAATTTCTTTGTCCCAGACGCATTTCCTTCAACTAGGACAGTCAAACGTTCCTTGCCCATTTTACCCCCTGAGCAGTTTTCATCCTTAAACATCATAGTCTTATTTGGAAGACATTTAAAAAATAAACCCATTTCATCAATATTGAAAACATCATTTT